ATCGGAAAGTTTCGGATTTTCGTTCTTGAAAGCCGAAACGTTTCGACCTTAAGATTTTGGTTTCGCCCACAACTTTAATGTACATAATGTTTCAATTGTGTCGATTCTGAAATTGCACAATCGATCTACATATAATTAATTAACATTTAATAATTTTGGCCACTTGAATTGAATTAATCTTCAAACAATAAATCATAATTAATTGATTCCGTACCGAGGCATTAGATAACCAAACCGAATTTGGGTTGAATAATTACCATCAGGAATTTTATATGGAAATGTATGTTAAACCTTCAGGTAATGTAATTACTAAGGATGTTTATCCTTTATAAAAAAAAGATTTGATTTATTAGCTGCAACTGAATGCATTGAAATCACCAATGAGTTTATTATGTTGATAAAAAAGTGAAAATTCAATGCTGATCATTTATAATTAAGGTGTGATCAATAGGATTTCACTTCATAGAAACATGGAGGATGTGACAGATAATTTATAAAGATCACATGACCATGTCTTTTTTTGTTGGGAGAAAAAATCGATAATACCGAATAATATTGCTCTCAACACATATGTAATACTTTTTATTTTATATATAAAATGTTTAACATTATTATCATTAATTCTTAATGCTTCGGATTTCTCTTTCATTATATATCAAAATTAGATAACAATGAGACCAAATTTGGGGAAGATCGAATGTCGTCTAAGGAAATGTCTAACAAAGGATAGCCTTATTTGTAAACAATCAGGGTCAAAAAAAGAATATTAGCGTCGAACCTTAAAAAAATTTTTCACCACCAAACAACAACTTCTTCCTTCTGATTCCATGCCAAAAAAAAAAATTTGAATTTTTGAATTTTGAATTTTTTTCGAATTTTAATTTCTCTTAAGAAAATAAAAAAAACTTAAATTTTTTGAATTTTGTCGAATATTAATTTCCTTAAACATAAAATTACTTTCTAATACGCACAAAATGTCAATTGAGCAAGTACAAGATCAAGAATCTCAACGTTTTATGGTACTAAGTACTGCTCGAATTTGCATCGAACAACGGCAAATGGCAATAAAAGAGTCAGGGGATAATGATAAAGAAAACGAAAATTGCCCTAAAAAATTCGAAAGGAGTCCTGACATCGTTGTTCACCCAGAAAGTTCCATCGCTCAAGAATGTAGGAAAAGAAGTGAATATAAGAAACTTTTCTTGTATTTTGATATTTATGCGGAAGAAATCCGAAACAAACATTTGGAAAAAAATACGTTCATCCCATTGGAAAACATGCCAAAGGAAGATCAGTTAAAACGACAATTTAAGGCAAGAAATCAACAAGACAGGCTTCTCTCATACAACTCATTCGAAATTGTTAATCTAATGGGAGAAAATTAAGTTTTTTCTTTTTTTTTTTTTTTTTTGTTATATATTAAGTATTTATACCACTTCTTGTCATATGTTGAATTGAAGATGAGATTGAAAATAACATTTTTAAATCAAACAATTAGATTAATAGTATTTATTAATTTTTTTTTTTTTTTCCTTCCGTTTCAAATCAATAAAGCAAATTCGACTTGAACGAATTTTTCAACATTGTTACGTAAAGGAACTAAAATTTTTTCCGTTTTGACAAAAGGGGTTGGATGATTCCTTTTTCATATATTACATTCATTCTCATAATTTAATTTAAAGAAAACCATGAATGGGCGCATCTTTCTAAATATGGTCATTTAAGTAAAATTGAAAAACAGAAACATGGAGAAATCTGCACACCATTAGAAATTTGTAATTTGGAATCTTCAAATTTGACGTATATAAAATGATCGTTCTTGGTCTAGAACATTGCCCATTTGACAGAGCTGCTAATTATGTAATGGATTTAATTTCCTGACGTTTAACCAATAATGGGTAAAAATAACTCCAAATATTAGATCTGCTAATTTATGAAAGATTGACAAATAATATTGCAAAATAATTTAATGAAATGGAATTTGTCTTAATGAGCGTGTGTCCATGTGGAACATTGAATTCATTTAATCTATGCATGGAATGCATGGAATTCATTCTTATTAAAAAAAAGAAAAAGAAGTTAATGCTTTTCGATAATTTGAAACAAGGTAATGCATAGAATTGTTTGGTCGCAAATTGATTAAAAATAAAATAATAAATATGTACTTAAAAAAGGGGAGTTGATAGACGCGCAATAAAATATAAAATGTTAAAGTCAATTATTCTATATGTCAATTGATCCTAAATAATATAATTAAATTATTGTTTACGTGAAATACAATCTGTGTACTTTTCTTTTCAGAGAATTTTAACCAGAAAATTGACTAATTCGAGCTAATCGCATTTTCGGTATGTAGACAATAATTATTTACAATCTTGAAAATGAATTTATTAAAGTCATTGTCACCAAATTTTTATCATTTGGTTTTTCTTCAAATATTCTTTCTACATTGTTGTAACAATTAAATGTTTGATTTTTATCATGGTTTTTCATTGTAAATAAATAAATAATAAAATTAGTTGTATTATTTTTTAAATTTTAAATTTTGAATTTTTTTTTTTTTTTTTATGTAACGCGTCTCTTACTATGGGAGGTTTAGTTTTTCACATGATGTCGGAAATCGATATCACGTGACTTTAAATTTTAATTTATTTGGTCATAACAAATGTGATTAGTATATTTATATATTATATCATATGATCAGCACTACGAGAACAAAAGCTTTTCACCATTTATTTACTTAATATACGATATATTCTTCTTTCATATATCAATTTAAGTTTAAACCTTCAACTATGACTGATACATATTTGGTGAGAGTTGGGGGTAAAGTCTTTGAATTTTCTGAAACGAGGTGAGTTGAGGGATTTCTTGTTAAATTCTCTCCTCGTCAAACGTAACCTTTAAATTTATTTTTAATGACCCGTTCCTAGTCTACAAATGGACGCTCCAAACTTGTTTACGGAAATGTTTTGGGGTGGAAAAGTCTATGGAGTCAAGGAAATCTTCTTTGACCGAGACCCCGTAATATTTGAAGTAATTTCAAGATACTTGCGTGGTTATGAGATCTTTCCAATTTCATCCATAAACCTACCAGTTGGTATGTCGGAAAACATTTTTCGACATAATTTATTACGAGATGCAAAATTTTTTCAATTAACAAAACTTTCAGAATCCATGATAACGATGGACACCAGAATTGGAGACGTGTTCAACAGTCATTTCAAAATCGAGAAACGGTTGATTGATATCGTACCACATGTTCACTTGCAATTGAAGAGATTTGGGGAGAAACAATTTGTGGTTTATAAAAGTGAAGGAATGCCGGTTGTCTTGTTTCATATGGGTGGGGTTATATGTGATGTAGCTCCACCTAGTTCCACCGCAGAATGGAAATTTCAACCAGTAGATTTGGAACATAGTAGAATCATAAGGGATATAATTGTAAATATCATAGGTGAAAGTTACGATCATAAAAATGATGTTTTTAACGGTTGTAAAAGCATTAGCGCGTTTGAAATTGATGGTCAAAAAGTTTATGGAAGCGAGATTTATTCAAAATTCAAGGAAAAAACTGCCCAAGTTGATAAATACGGGAGAATCAGATTTTTATTAAGTAAATTGATTTTTAGTTTGGAAGTTGTTGGTGAACATCTTCAGTTCAACAATCCCATTGGAAGTTCTTCCTCTGGAGGAAAAATTAAACATAGAATTAAACCCGTTTGGGGGACTGGAATTACCGAACCTACTTGGTTAGCGCATCGAGGAACTTAGGTATTTCGCGGTTAATTATTTCGAAAATTAAACTGTTCCCCCCCCCTCCTTTCCAAAGATTAACTTTTTTCTTTTTTTTTTTTTTTGCCATTCATTTGTAAAGGTCTTCGATTTTTTTTTTTTTTTTTTTTTTCCTTTTTTTTCTTTTATTTTTTTCTCTTTTTTTTTTTTTAAAAAAAATTTTTAAATCTGTCTATTAAAAAAAAAAAAAAAAAAAAAATCGAAAATGAACAAAAATAATATAAATAAAAAAACTTATTTATAATGAAATTTTTTTATTAAAAAATTGGATATTCTAATCATCACCTTGCTTTGATATCTCAAAGATGAAAGAATATTCGTTCTATTTATAATAATATGCAATGATGATTATTTCTTTTCACATGACTACAGCATTTTCCATAAATGCATTAAGATCGTGATCCGATCTTGATAAAAAAAATTTTTTTTTGATCCAACCAATATATCCAAATCTTTGAAAAGCTGGCAAATTTTACAAACTCTTTTTTCAATTTTTTAAAATCATCATCCAAATGTCTTCTATCACGGACGTTAGTGAGCGTAAAATTCGTCCGATTTATGGTAATTCTACAAATTTTTTTTTCATGATTTTTTTTTTAAAAAAAAAAAGAAAATATAATAGTTTGGTTCGGAATGGTTTGAATTTTCCTCAATGCTAAATGTATTTAATTCCTTTAATTGTCTAGAGGCGATTGATAGTTTAAATTATAAGTCTGCGTTATCGCATTGTAACAAGTTGTTGAAGAAGCAACCTAACGCTCTCATATTAAAGGTAATTTGCATTGCATTACTTTCATATGTTTTCGCATTTAACCGCTATGTTATTATTTTTCAGGCTTTGAAGGGTTTGATTCTAGAGAGAACTGGTAAATCCGACGAAGCATTACAACTATGTGATCAAGTAAAAGAAAACAAGCCCTCAGACGAACCAATATTGCAAGCTCTTACTATGGTTTATCGGTCGTTGGGGAAACGCAAGTATCTTAAAAAACAATGATTTGGTTTTTCTTTCATTTATTCACATTTGCCTTTGTTCCTTAATTATAGTCGACGACATTGTTCAATTATATGAAAATGCCACGCGTCAAAACCCTAATAACGAAGAACTCGGCAACCATTTGTTTATGGCTATGGTTCGAAATGGTGATTATAAAGGGCAGCAACAGGTGAATTCGATAATCGTTAAAAGGATTCATGGATTTTCAAACTTTTTAGTTATTATTTTATTCTCCTGTAGGCTGCTTTGAAATTACACAAGACATTTGGCGTGAACAAATATTTATTTTGGGGCATTATGAGTTTGGTATTACAGGTATAAATAAACGACTGGATATTTGCTAGCATTATAAAAAAAAAAATATTTAATTTTGACAAATGTATGTATGCTAGGCAGAAAATGCTCCTGCAGGTCAATCATCAATTTTCATGACATTGGCCGAGCGCATGATGCTCAAAGCAGTTCAAGAAGGTCGATTGAAACTGACTGAAGGTATTGATCTCTTTTTTTCCCCCTTCATTAATCCTTTTGATTTGATCTAATATTTACATTTGTTCATCAGAGGTCCATCTTTACTTGATTGTTTTGTTGACGCAAAATAAAACCAAGGAGGCTCTGGAAGTTTTGGAAGGCGACCTTGGTCAGATATGTAAGCACGATACCGAGATAAAGTATATTCGGAATGATTTGCTTCTAAAAACTAGCAATTGGTCCAAGGCAATTGAGATAAGCAAGTTATCGTTAACTGAAACGAAGTTGGTAGATGAATTAATGATATTTTATTATTGAAAACGTGAGATTATTTGTCTTAGTCCTGATATTTATTTCTAATTAGCATAGATGATTGGGGAGCATATTTAACTTATTTGGAATCTCAATTTCATCTCATCAAGTCTAGTGAGAAGGATGAAAATGGAGAAATGTAGGTGATGATTTTCCAGATATATCATTATTTCCTTAAAGATCTTCTAGATCTTGAATTATCCCTTGAATTACAGTTTGAATAAGGCGACGATATTGGATGATGCTCGCGAGCTGTTACGTTCATTGCAAGAGAAGGGAGGGAGTTCAAGCGATGTGAAGCGAGGTCCATTTCTTGCCGAGTTGGAATTAGAATATCGAGTCATTTCGGAGTTAAAAGATTGCAAACCGGCACAAGAAATTGACATTTTGGCAATTGAGTATTTTCGAAAGTTTGGAGAGAAATCATGCTGCTTTGAGGATTTACAACCTTATTTGAAAAGTATTCCGCTGGAAACCTCCAGGATGATGGTCGAAGCATTCAATGCTTTGATTGATAGCACTTGTGAGGATGTTAAGGTGAGCAAACGGTCCTCATGTCTTGTTGTATTTTTGATTTATATAGATTATCTAAATCTTTTTTTTTTTTTTTATTGTAGTCAAGGATTCAAAATGTTCATAAGAATATTAATGTTAATAAGTTGGAAAGATATCTTGGGTTATTATCGGATATCAGCGAAAGTGATGCAATATTATATGTTAATAAGTTATGGAGATCATACAATGACGCTCTTCAGTATGGTACGAAGTATTAAAATTATCGTAAATTCCATATACTTTCTGAATCAATAAAGTCAGTATAGATCCATATTTAATATATTGATCATAGGTGTAGAGTTACTAGACACTGAAAATCAATATGGCGACGAATTTGTTATCCTGGCATCTCACCTTCTTATTGATTTGTATCTCAAAAAAGGTGAGCTTTAAAAAAAAAAAGAAGACAAATTACTTAATGTTGAATTATAATATTAAATTCATAATTATAATTTCGTGTCGTGATGATTATTTGATAGGCCAGAATTCTTTTGTACTTCAAGCAATTTTCCTATTGGAGATGGCTTTGTGTAAAAGCAAATACAACTACCAATTCAAATTGCTACTCGTTCGGCTTTATCAAATTCTTGGTATGTGAACTGTTATAATAGGGGATTGCTGTATTCAAACTTACCCGTTTAATTATATCACAAACAGGAGTCTTTCAGAGGTCTCTCGAGTTGTACAAGTCTATGGATATAAAGCATGTTCAACTGGACACAATGAGGTTTTCAAATGTTTACGAAACAATCAATGCGATACTGTATTGTTATTAATGTATTTCTTTAACATTGTTCACAGCCATTACATTTGTGCCCGGTCGTCATCTTTTGCATTTATTGGAGAAGCTATTCGAGCATGTCATGAGACTCTTCAAATATATCGCAGTAACGATGCGGAGGTGATAATTGATTTATATAGCTTGATATACAAAAAAAAAAAGGAAGCATAGAACTCATTCATAGAAAATTTTTATTTTCAGACACCTGAAATGATAATTCAGGCGTTTAAGCTTGCCACCTTTAGCAAGGTATTGATATTTCTCATTGTCAAATATTTAGTTCGCAAAGTTATTTAAGATAGTTTATTTGTTATAGGTGCAAGAATTTATCAAGTTCCGTAAGGAATTAGATTGTTCTATGCAAAGGGTTCTTTTATATAGGGAAATAGTACGCCTTGATATTCTGAGCATATCAAAAGATCTTAAGAATACAATGGAATACTTTGAAAGAGATTTGGACTCGATCATTGATCTTAGCCATGATGGTAGTTAATACGTAATTTGGTTGGGAATGTAATGATCATCATGTTCTAACGTAATTTTATCTCTTTAGATCCTTTTTGTGCAACTCTTTATGACCATAGAGATTTTACAGTAATGACTAATTGTAATCCTTCTGGCACCAAATCTTTCGAGGAAGTTACAAGAGTGTCACCCACACTTAACGTAATTATCTTGATTATTCTATGAATGTCGGTCAAATTTTTTAATTATTCCTAGCCTAATTTTGTTTCATATTTTATTCATTCAGAAAGCTTGGTTGAAAATTTTTTCCCTCATTCCACGAATTCTCAAGACCCTGTATGCTAATAATAACACTGATGACTTAATAATATTGATTGAGGAATTAGAGAATTTAGTTAGTTCAGAGAAAAAAGAATTGGTAATTTGTATTTTTATTTATTTATTTATTTTTTTTATTTGTAGTTTTCCTTTCTTGAACTTATTTATGTCTTTTATTTAAAATTAAGATAACATTAGAGGAAAGACATATAGGTGAGATAGTTTCAAGATTGGGTCGTCTATACATTACGACGAAAGAAGTACGAGCGGGTCAAAAGGAATCTAGACAAAAATTATCAAAAACTATTGACGGGATCATTTCTATCTTAAAAGGTTTGAATAAGGATTTATAACTTTTTAATAATTCTATTTTCTTTTTAAGTTATTCACTTTCCGTATTTTTGATTTCAGATTTCTGCAAAGAGGATTTTACCAAAATTTCACTACGAGAGCTATCTTGGAAACACTTGCATCAACTTTCAACTTTTCTGGAGGTAAGGACCGTTTTATTGTTTGAAGATATTTTACTTTTTTTTTGTCGATATTAAATTTTATTTATACGTCAAATAGACTTGCAACTATATTATCATTGTAATTTACATTATAAATGAATTATTACTTAATAAAAACAAAAAATCGGGGAATAAAGACATGGTCAGTAATTAATAGAAATATTTATTCGTCAATAACCATTGCAAGGTGTTGATGATTTTTTTTTTTTTTGATTTAGATCCAAGTAATCCAAACTTTGAAAAAATCTGTAAAAGAAAATCTTGAGCGATTAAACGAACAATTAAATGAATTCAAAAAGAAATTAGAGAATGAAGAAGAGTTGTATTTGGATCTTTTATCATTTATCAAATCCGAAAATGGATTTATAGAATTTTGTGAAAGTGAGGTATGTAATATTTATTTATTTATTTTTTTTTTTAAAAAAAAAAAAAAAAAAATTATATAATTGTTTAATTTATAAAATGTTATATGTAGACAAATGTGTCATTTATAAAAGAAATCTTAGTTAAAAACGTGGGATTAAGCTGGAAAACGAGTATTCAAAATATAATTCAAGAAATTGAGTATAGGATTAACCTATGTTAATTAGATTAAATTTAATTATTTATTGTTTTCAATTATATAATTTTTTATAATACTGTTAGATACAATATATATATATATTCCTTGCCAAAATAAAAGGTCATTAATGCTTAATAAGCAAGCAGTGAATGTTAAAGATCCTCTACCGAATTTAATGCTCAATTTCAAGAAAAAATATTTTCTCAAGTTTTTAAAAATATATAAATAGATTTATAGCACCAAAATCATATTGATACTTTATTATTTATAATAATTACAATTATGAATTTTTCCTTTATGCATCTAGCAGAGTAGACAGATTCTCTCTACTAAATAAAAATAAAAGAAAAAAAAAAATAGTAATACTTTTTGCTCGCTTTTTAAAGAAATACACATTCATAAATATATAAAACACCAAAACCCAATCGAGAATTGCAATTCTTTTGATTACAATTTTGAATTTTTCCATTTAGGCTGCCTTTTCTCTTTAAAAGCGCGAACGCCCTCTTTAAAGTTATCTTGTATAAATAATTTTTTAGTCATTTCAGAATCGAAAAGCTTTCTTTCAGCTTCAGTTAAAGAAGGAGATTCCAATGAATAAAGTATGCCTCGTTTTGTAACTTTAATAGCATCAGGAGAATTTTTAATTATCTCTGACGCAATTTTCAATGCAGCTGGTACAGCATCCTGTTAAAAAAAAAAAGGGAATCAATTTCTTGGGGTAAATAAAAAAACAAACGTGAATTGGTGTTAATTACTTTATAAAATGGCACAATTTGGTTAACAAGTCCAAGTTCCTTAAATTCCTTTGCCGAACAAATTCGACCCGTAAAAGCCAATTCACATGCACGCTGGTATCCTAAATCGAACAAGATAACAAAACTTCTATAAGAGAATGAAAATTTCACGTTAAATAAATGCATCTTGTAAATATACACACTTACCGATGAACCTTACTAATCTGGATAATCCACCATTGACAGCAATGATACCTCTTGACACTTCAGGTAAAGAAAATATAGCATCTTTTGCAGCAATGACGATATCACATGCCAAAGTCATTTCCATTCCACCCCCTTTTTCGAATCAATCAATTCGAAGCATTTATGATAAATACCCTTGCGTGACATACGTACATCATATTTTTTATTCGAATATCAAAGGATTCTCACCAATCGCAAATCCATTGACGGCGGCAATGACAGGTTTGAAACAATCAACCCTTCTACTCAATCCTCCAAATCCGCTCGGTGGAAAATCATCAATTGATATCGTTTGATCTTTTTTTGAAGTTAATTCATCTTTTAAATCTTGTCCGACACAAAATGCCTTATCTCCCGATCCCGTGATCTATTTTAAAACTCGTTAAAAATGAAAATAAAATAAAATAAAAAATAAAAAAAAAATTTGATGATCTTACAATCGAAACCCATAACTCTGGTTCCCGGTTATACCAATTAAATACTTCATCCAATTCAAAATGCGCGGGAAGGTTAAGCGCGTTAAGTTTTTTCGGACGATTAATGGTTACAAGTAATACATGTAATGCTGGAAATGTTAATAAGCAAAATTTGGTTTTTGGAGGTGAAAATTCAAAATTTGTTGGAATTCCGGGCATCATTGCTTTTTTCAGTTATATAATAAATGAAGATTTTTGGTCGCAAGGAAGATATACAAATATGTACATAATTGTCATGAAAAGTCACGTGATAAGATCCGATAAAAAATTTTTTTAACGATAAATTATTTTTTGCTAGCCAATCAAATTCTTCAAGAAAACATACATTAGGAAAATATTATTTTATTAAAACAAAAATGAATTAGGATAAAACTACTTTAAGGATTTTTTATAAAACAAGATTGAAATAATCTCCTGCATGAGTTCGATAGCAGCCGGATGACCTCTATTATCTATGGCGAGTAATTTATACTCGAGAGTATCTTTGATTTTATCAAAATTATAAACGATATAATTGATCATGTCATCTTTCAAGTCCTTCCATTTATAACCTTCACTGAATAAAACCTTAACCACGTTATCAAAGTGTAACCTTTTGTAAATTTCTACTCTCGCCTTTTGCCTTAAATCCGATATAAGATAGTAATCGGCTATTTTAAAGATTTCCATCGGGATGATATCGGTATTATTAAATTCGATCTTACCCGTGTACATGAAACGAATTACCTTCAGGAAGGTTTGACGGGAGAATTCTTGAATATCGATGTTGACATAATTGTTGTTTGTATCAACCTTCCTCTTTTTGTCATTCCTCTCTTGAAATAATTTACGAAAATATTCTGAACGTTTACTGAGGATCGATTGATAAGTGTGAATGATCCCATCCTTAAAATTTAATTGAATGTCTGCGTTCTCGGCGTTGTTGGACTCATCTATCCACGTCGCCATCAATTCCTTTGAAACTTGATTGGAAATGATTTCCGAATTGAATTGACTTTTTTCGATTGTGATATCCGAGAAAATGATACCAATGTTAACCTTTCGGTAATCTTGCAAAGAAGGAAAGTTGACACCTAACGAAAATAATTGAATCAAATCAAACCTTTATCTCGATGATTATGAGGACGAAAAAATAAAAACTCTTCTTTATTTACCCCAAGAATATGACCTCACGGTAAATTTATCCGTCTTGATAGGATTATACCTCTCGTATTCCTGACTTTTAATGTATAGCACAACTGATAATTTTTTACGCGTCTCCCAAACATTTGTCGTCAATGCTTCCTCGTGATTTGGAATCGCGATCAAATATAAAATACAACTTTCACGATTGTCAGGATCCGTCTATTTTTTTTATTTTTATTTTTTATTTTATTTATTTTAAAAAAAAAAAAAAAATCTTCATTGAAAATTAAAATACCTTGTAAAATTTTAATTGCCAAAATGTATCATTTGATGTTGCAAAAGGTGGTGAGAATATAGGATCATCATCTATCTCATTTTGAATCATGAATTCAAAAATTGCTTTTCCGTTATGACTAATTGTCATATCGATTCTTGACCGACGAGTATATAATATTAAGAAAAAAATAAAAAAGAACGAAAGAAGAACAAAATTGGAAATTAAATGTCTAAAAAAAAAACCAGAAACAAAAATGAGAAAAAAAAATAACGATCAAATTATTTTTTTTTTTAACGCGTTTGTATTAAATCATTCGTTAAGAATTCCGTTCATTTTCAGTAAATGGTCATTACGTTTTGATCCTGATTGACAAACAAAACATGTGCAATACATCCATTTTTATTTCGATTTTTTCACTACTTCAGTACTTAATTTCTGATGCGACTTGGAACTATTCACATTTCTGTCGAAAGAAACGTTTGTAAAAAAAAAAAAAATCACGTTAGAAGTGGAAGAAGTTAAAAGAACTACCCCGTAATTACTTGATCGTCTGCTCGAATTATCGATTTTTTTATATCACAATGCAAGTCTTACTATTGACGCGTATCGATAATCTATTGAAACAAAACATCTTTAGCGAATTAAACCAAAGTATTTAATTCTTTATGACGCGATTAATTTACACTTCCAACATTTAACAGAATCAAAAAAAAAAATTTTAATTGGATATCTCGAAAATTTCTTTGAAAATAACTTGTTTAACGACGCATCAATCTCATTCAGCAAGCCAGATGAAATATCTATAACACATGGATTGGTAATAAAAGTAATGAAAATGGGTTGGATCAATTGCAAGTGGATGCAATTAATGTGGGAAATAGTGATCGGAAGCATTATCTTTAGAGTGATAATTATCCATTCCTTTTATTGTATAAAATTTTTATTTTTTTCTTACATCTTGAAATTATTCAAAAATTAAATAAATGTTTTTAATATTTTTGTTTTTAAAATGAGTCTTCTATTCCAAAATTAATTTTATTAACTAATATTTTTTGTAATTTTCTATAAAAAAAAAAAATCCCTTTATTTTAATGATTTTTTCAACAACCTATCCACAATTTCCTGAAATATTTCGATTCCCGCAGGATGACCCTTATTATCAGCCGACAACTTTTTATATTCAGGGGTTTCTTGTATTTTTTGAAAATTTTCCACGATGAAATCCATGATATCATATTTAAGATCATTCCATTGCCAGGCCTCGTTAAATAAAAGATGCATTGCATTCTTTGTACTTAATCTTTTGAAGATTTCAACCCTGGCTTTCTGTCGTAAATTTGATAAAATATACTTGTCAGCTACTTTAAATAGTTCTATAGGTGATACAAGGTTGAATCGAACTTCATCTGTATAAAGATATCTCAACATTTCATAAAATACGACTTTAGAAGTATCTGTAACATCGACAACAATATAAACTGGATGATTCATGGTATCATCGGATGATGATGATGATGATTCTGTATCGGATGGTGCTTTTTTCCTCTGTTGTGATTTTTGTAAATTTGACATTTCCGCCCATTGACCTTTTAAAAAACCCGAGAAATATTCGGAACGACTTGATAATATTGATTTACTCGCGTACACAACTCCATCTTTAACGTTAAATAAAACATCGGATTTTTCTGGAACATCTAATTCGCGACCCCATGTTTCTGAAATATCTTTTGATTCTGGTTTTGTACTAAGAGTAGAATTATATCCTTTTGATTCTAAAACGGAATTTTCAAATGTTACACCGATTATGACTGACGAACCATCCGTTATCTTATTAAAATTTTTTCCTAAATTTCAAATTAAAAGAGATAAATATTTTGATTTTGATCTCTCTTTTTTTTTTTTTTTTTTAAAAAAAAAAAAAAAAAGTCCGATATCTTTCTTACCCCAAGATTTACTTCTCAAAGAATAATCATCAGTAGTTATAGTATAAGCTTTACTAAATCGTGCGTTTTTAATAAACAATGAAGCAGAAATACTAGCTCGATCACACCAAAATTGAGTTGAGACAGCTTCTTCAGAATTTGGAATAGCAGTCAAAAAGATTAAACAGCAATTTGGATTCTCGGGATCACTCTAGTAAAAAATAAAAAAAAAAGAGTGTAAGGTTAATGAACTCATTTCTCGGTTATTTTTGTATGAGTAAATAAATGATGAGAGAAATGAAATTATTACCGGTTGATACTCAAGTTGCCAAAACATATCATCAGCCGTTGAAAAAATAGGGGTATAGACACTTTTTTCCCCAATTGCTTCATTGTTGGGAACTGTAAATTCAAATGTTGCTTTTCCTTTGTTGACAAACATTTTGATAAAACGGGGAAAGTGAAGAAAAAAAACCGATAAAAGTTGTGAAAAGGATAAAATTGATCCCTTTTATATATCGTGAATGATCTGCACGTCCAAGGATCAGCGCTCAATGCTTAAAAATATGGAAATAATTAATAATAACAATATTTTTGGCGTCCTTTAAATTCAGCAGTACAACTCGTTACATTAAGTTTTTTTTTTTTTTCGATGTAACAACTAAATTATTGTTGAAAATAAATATATGCAGGATTAATTGATTTAATTTAATTAATTAAATTAAATGATAAATTTGAAAATTTTTTTATGCGCATGACCCGTGTTTTGATTCAGAGACAATAAAAACAAAAATTTTTGTTTATCAAAATTTAAGTTTCTTCCTTTGGATGAATCCATTTACAGTCTCCCATTTACAATAAGCAAAGAAAACGTGAAAATTTTGTTTGTGTGTAATTATAATAATATATACTGCTGCAATTTCATACCAACAAAATCCGTATGACGTCATACAGCCAACCCTTATATGCAAGAATACAAAATTTGTAAAATTTTGAATTGATTTCGTCAAAGAAACATTATATAACATTCAATCTGCCTTCTGTAGTAAAATTCTATGTGAATACAACTTTCACGATGTACAAATATGAAACTGTTACAACAATTGATAACGATAAACGTTTATTGGTACGAATTGTTTGATTTACATCTTTTGTGCAAGTGAAGGAAAAGGTAAATCTATAATGACGCTCATGAATCATTTGATATAAAAGGAAATAAAATTTTAGAAAACGTTTTGAAATGTGCATTGACCAAATTTCTGAATTTTGATATTAAACTTAAATACATAAGGAATCCTAAATTGGCTAATTATTTTTTTTTTATCTCGCATGCCATGTCGGAATCTTTTGGGGAACAAATAAGTTTTGTTAACGACACCCATGCTGATTGGTTAGAAAAAGCGATTTCTGAAAAATATTTTAAATATTTTGATTATGACGAGTTCACCAATATGAAAAATATCAACAGCGGCTCTTTTGGGAAAGTTTTTCGTGCAAACTGGAAAAATTCTAATGTTATTATGGCGATAAAATATTCATATAAATCATCTGTTAAAGAAATTGTTAATGAGGTAAGTATTATTTCCCATAATTTTTTTTTTTTAATCATATTTATTTAATATTAATACATGTAAATGATAAATTTATGATAGTTAAAAATTCAGCGTGAAGTTGATTATCATGCAAATATTATAAGATTTTATGGTATCTCAAAGTTCAAAGGCAGGTATTTGTTAGTAATGGAGTACGCTGATAGTGGATCATTGCAATCATATTTAAAAGAAAATTTTAATAAACTTGAATATAATGAAAAAAATCGATTAGCATTTCAACTTGCAAATGCTGTGGAATATATGAAGACATAATCCATTGTGATTTGGTAAGATTTATAATTAAATATTACAATTTTCTTTTTGATGTTTAAATTAATAAAATTATTATTATTTAATCATATAGCATGCAAACAATATCCTCGTTCATCAAAACAATATTAAATTGGCAGATTTTGGTTTATCTAGAAAAATAACTGATGTGTCAAGTCATTTAACAGACGACGTGTATGGCGTCGTTCCCTATGTTGATCCAAGATATTGGAATAAAAGTCAATCTTACACATTAGACAAAAAATCTGATGTTTATAGTGTTGGAATCCTTTTTTTGGCAAATTTCAAGCGGTTGCAAACCTTTTGAAAATATTAAATATGATGCAACTTTAATTATGGATATCAAAGAAGGAAAGCGTGAAACAATTGTTGAAGATACTCCAATTGAATATAGTAATCTATATGAAGGTAATATTTATAATATAATGTAAATAAATTATAAATGTATACTAATTCTATATCATTCTGTTAGCATGTTGGAAAGAAGATCCAAATGAGCGTCCTACAATACAAGAAGTTGTTAAATATCTTCAATTAATAATTTTTGGGGAAAATAAAGTTATTTGCGTGGAAGAAAAAATAGAATTACCAAAAGAAATTCATTCTCATCTTCAGTCAAAATTACCAAGCAAAACATTTAGTTATAATTCTGATTTGTGTTTAAGTAATCTTGTGCAGAATTTAAGACCAGAAGAAAATGAATGCAATCCCTATATACTAAAACAAGCAAAGGTATTGTTTTCGGAGATATTTAACTCAACAGATAAGATTGATATCTTAATTGATAAATTAGTTATGCTCTTGATTAGAACAAGGGACGAAAGCAATAATTTTAACGAAACAAGACAGTTTATTAATCAATGTATCATACTTTCGAATCAAGCAGCAAATGATATTATTAGTTGGCTTAAGGAAAATCAAGATACATCAAAGAAAGCATTCTTTCTTGGATTTTTGTACTTTAGTAAGTTTAATATTGAAGAAGCATTTATACTATTTAAAAAGGCAGCAGAAATGATTTACTCTATTGCGCAAGTATATTTGAGCAAATGTTATAAAGATGGATTTGGTACTAAAGTCGATAAAGATTTAGCATTTAATTGGATGAAAAAGGCTGTAAAAAATGGAAGTATATGCGGTCAACTTGATCTTGGCAGCTATTATAATAATGGTATAGGATCAAATAAAGACTTAAAAATTGCATCTTATTGGTTTCAAAAGGCAGCAGAAAATGGTAATAAAATAGCACTATTTAACTTAGCAATATGTTATCAAAATGGAGAAGGCGTTGATAAAGATGTAAATAAAGCATTTAAACTATATAAGAAATTAAATGGTTATATTAACGCGAAATTTCAATTTGGATCTCATTATTTTAGCGAATTAGAAACTGATGTTGATAAAGTAAAAGCAATTGAGCTATTTAAAAAAATGGCAGAAATGGGCAATGTTACTGCGCAATACACTTTAGCTATATGTTATCAAAATGGAGAGGGTGTCGATAAAGATGAAAACAAAGCATTTGGATTGTTTAAAAAGTTAGCTGAGATCGGAAACGCAAATGCAAAGGTTCAGCTTGGAAATTATTATATTGATGGGATTGGAACTAACAATGATAAATCAAAAGCATTTGAAATATATAAAGAAGTAGTAGAAAACAGATATAATGATATAAAATATGATATTGTATCCTTATATGAAGAGAATAAAGAAGTAGAAACGAATTTAGAAAACGCATTTTTTTGGTATCAAAATGCAGTAGAAAATGAATATGAAATAGCACAATATAATCTTGCAATGCTATATGAAGAAGGTGAAGGAACAGAAAGAAATTTAGAAAAAGCAATTTATTGGTATCATAAAGCGGCTGAAAACGGTTTTATTGACGCACAATACAATCTTGCATTATTGTATGAAAATGATAAACAAACAAAAAAGAGTTTAGAGAAAGCGATTTATTGGTATCTAAAAGCAGCTAAAAATGGCTATATAAAAGCACAATATAATCTTGCAATACTATACAAAAAAGGTGAAAAGTCTATAGAAAATTTAGAAAAATCTATTTACTGGTATGAAAAGGCAGCAGAAAATGGTTATAAAATTGCACAACATAATCTTGCCATACTATATGAAAATGGTGAAATTATAGAAAAGAATTTTGAAAAAGCATTCTATTGGTATGAAAAAGCAGCAGAAAATGATAATAACATTGCAATGTATAATTTAGCTCTATATTATCAATATGGAAAAGGAATTGAAAAAAATTTAGTTAAAGCCCTTTATTGGTATCATAAAGCTGCAATAAAGGGCAATGAAATTGCGCAAATTAATTTAGCATTTTTATATAAAAAGGGTAAAGGTATAGGAAAGGATTTAAAAGAAACCTTTTATTGGTTTAATAAAGCAGCAGAAAATAATAATGAAATTGCACAATACAATCTTGCATTATTATATGAAAATGGTGAAGGAACAGAAAAAGATTTTTAAAAATCCTTTTATTGGTATAAAAAAGCAGCAGAAAATGGTAATAAAGTTGCACAAGCAATTTATAATCAAAATTATAATAAAAATAATACTCATAAAGATACATTTGCATTATATAAAAATTCAGCTGAAAATGGACATATATTTATAAAATTTCAACTTGGATATTCTTATAATTATGGAATTGAAATTAATATTAATAAAGCAAAAGCATTTGATTTATATAAAGAAGTAGCAGAAAAGGGATATATTAAAGCACAATATATGATAGCAAATTTATATAAAAAAGGTGAAGGGATTGAAAAAAACTTAGAAAAAGCATTTTATTGGTATAAACAAGCTGCAGAAAGTGATAATAAAGTAGCACAATATAATTTAGCTATTTGTTATCAATATGGAGAAGGTATTAATAAGGATGAAATTAAAGCATTTGAATTATATAAAGAATCAGCTAAAAATGGATATATTTATGCAAAATTTCAACTTGGAAATTGTTATAAATATGGAATTGGAACTAGTATTAATCATATAAAAGCATTTAAATTATATAAAGAAATAGCAAAAAAAGGATTTACTTTAGCACAATATAATCTTGCATTTTTATATGAAAATAGCGAAGGAACAGAAAAGAACTTAGAAAAAGCATTTTATTGGTATTGTAAAACAGAAGAAAAAATAAGTATTCATGCAAAAAATAATCAAATATATGAAAAAATGGAAGAAATGAAAAAGAATTCAGAAATTTCATTTCAGTTATATCATAAATTAGCAGAAAATGATGATATGGCACAATATAATTTAGCTATATTTTATCAAAATGGAGAAGGTGTTTATAAAAATGAAATTAAAGCATTTCGTTTATATGAAAATTTAGCAAAAAATGGATACATCAATGCAATATTTCAACTTGGATATTTTTATAATTATGGAATTGGAACAGACATTAATAAATTGAAAACATTTGAATTATATAAAATAGCAGCAGAAAAAGGATTTAATATTGCACAATATAATCTTGCTATTTTATATAAAAAAGGTGAAGCGATTGCAAAGAATTTAGAAACCGCTATTTATT